CTCCCCTAAACAGCCCAATGAGTGTGCCCAGTGGGGTGACAGGCATGCAAGCAAGCCAACTTGCCACTTCACTGTCCCAGTCACTGGGCAGAGTAAGGACAGAACCCGGCATAGGACACTGACATAGGCATGTCAGTGTCCTATGCCGGGTGTTGGTAGAAGCCTGGGTGTGGCCAGGGAGTTGTGCTTGCCAAGTCTGACCAGCCTGGCAGTCTTAGGGCCCTGTCCTCCTGACCAGATCACACCACACAAGGCCCACCTCCTTTGGAGTCCAGCTCTGTGTTCACTGTCCCTAAGGGAGTAACAGGGGCTGTACAGTGTAGTAGGAAGGACTGTCTCAGCAGTTGGTTCAAAGCCAGCAACCTGTCCTAGTGACTGATGAACCAGTCACTGGCTAGACCCATGTCCTCCTCTCTGCCTCCTCTGACTGAGTCCTGAGGACACCAGTGACTTCAGGAGGCCTAGACCTTGGACACCTGGTCCTTGCTGTCAGGGACCTAGGGTGTCACACATCAGAACCTGGAGTTTGCACGGGGACTGTAATTTTTACTGTGTGTCACGAGGTACCTAGAGGGCTGTGCCACGTCACCTCCTGGGGCTTGAGCAGAGAAACTTGAACCATCATGAATTATTGGGAGCCCAATGTCACTGTGGGGTCCTCCTCAAACAGAGTCAGAGGCTCAAAGCAGAGTCAGGGAGACTCTGTGCTTCGGTTGGAGAAGAGGGAGGAAACAAGGTTGCTGGTCTCCACAGGGACAAATGCCAGAGCCTCAGGAGAGACCAGCTCGGCCATGGTGACCTTATTTTTTAACCCTTGTTAAATGTAACCTCTAGTCACATAAGATGACCAGTTTTGGTCCTCTAAGTTCCTAAACTGGCAGTCACTTGTTGCAGCCAGCCTGGCCTTACCAAGCCTAGGCCATAGAGAAAGAAACTGAGACAGCTAGCAGGAGGTAGATCCAGGCTTCATGTCCATGTCCGATTGTAACAGACTCGTGGAAGGTACAATAGACACATGCCCTGCCATGCTGGTCCACAACCCAATCTGCAGCCCTTGATACCAAGAAGCCAACCTTTGCCAGGCAACACATTTGCTCCTGCCATTCCAGACCTCCTCTTCTGTGCCGAAGGTGGGGCCCAGCTGCTGGGCCAATAGTATTCTAGGGGCTTAGAGGGGACCCAGAGCCAGCTCCAGCCAGGCAGAGCCAGCTCCAGCCAGGCAGAGCCAGCTCCAGC